GAATCGCACAATTGACTTGAGCCCACCGTAAGAAGCCATAAAAGAACATAATCTGACAAAATGTCAAACATCAGTGCTCATCAATAAAGGAGGCTAGATTGAAGTTAGAACAAATCAATAGGAGCAAACTAACTAATCTGACAAAATGTCAAACAGCAGTGCTCACCCAAACAGTACCCTGGTCTACAACCTCCTGGAGAACTCCCTGAGACTACATGCATGCTGATTCTTACAACATTATATTATCATGTCACTCTCAAACTGAGAGAAAAGTAAACAATTTAACTAATAGATTGTGCTAAGTTTCATATCCATCTCAACTAATCCATGGCCTCCAATCTCCAGAAAATATACCTTCTAGTCTATATACATCCTGTTAAATCAAACAACCATGAGAGTTAACATATGGTATATTTTTCTACAGGGGTAGGAACACATTTTGCAATAAAAGTGAAATTTCTCATTAAATGGTATCCAATATAGTAAAAACAGTAATTCATGGTGCATAACCTAAGAACAAAATTTGTTAAAGATCTGAGAAATCCAAATTTCTAAGGATGTTAGGATGGCAAATTTTATTTCATCCTTGCTTCTAAAATTTGTCTAAATAGTCTAGGAAACCAGCAAAGGCAGCTCTTGAAAGGCATGGAGCCATGGACAGAAAAAAGAGATGAAGTTGTACCTTGGCAGCTGTCTAGATGAATAATTCATATGAATTTCACTAAGCTATCAGGTTCTTTCAAAATCTTTTCAATTTTTCGCAGACAAGGAACAATGTACATATATAAGAAAATATAAGATGTACTCGAACCCATATCTATTATTATGTCTATAATGGATAGTCAGTTCTTGTACTCCCTGCGAAAGAATATATGTGGTAAACTCAAAATTGAGGAAATAATAATAAGAATGCAAGTAACAAGTACATACTCCAAGATGATAATCAAATTAAACTGGATTACCAATGCATGTATTACTTTTCAGTTGTGTTCAAATTAAAACAAGGACTCCCTAATATCGAGACATGTCTCTAATGAAGTCATCCAATCTGCATAGTAATCATATCTCCAAATTTGAAACCAAAGACCACCTTCGGAAATCATAATAATGATCTATCAATGTTGAAGCTCCTCGTGACTGGTGTTCCATTTGATCAATATGCACACAACAGAGGGAGACAACTTGCTTGGCATATAAGGGAATATAATTTATCAAATGACACATAGTCAGGGAAGGAAGGCAAAGGAAATGAGAAAATCATAAATCATAAAGACACATGTTTAGTATCCTGTGCTAGAATAAGCATTCATAACTAATCCACTAAAAATAATTGTGGTCTGTACACAAAAAATAGGTGCTTGGTAAATCCAAACAGGAAGAGAAGTGCAGTATCTGCCCTTATCTACTACTCCGTATGCAACATTCTCAGATCACCCTGCACGGCTGCTGGCCCAACCTTGCCGAGAAAGCGTTCTCGGGAAAATTCAGCTAGAGCTAATGAATCAATCGATGCTTTGCAGTCCAAACCTCATGAGCCCAACAAATTGTAGTTCATCCCATCAAATTGACTCATATTTCTCGAGCCAAGATACACACAAATACCAAAATCACACAAGAGATCAATGGAGTATGCGCTGTCTGTGCTTCCTTCTTCACTTCAACCACTCACTAATCATCTTGTAGTGGCGACGGTGGTGACCAATTGCAGTGAGCTCGTCGGAGCTATTGAAGCAACTGCATATAATTTGATTTGTTGTTAATCGTGTAGCAGCATATCCCAGCATTACACGCCTAATTTCTAGGTGCCAAGAGCATGAAAGCAGAGTGAGAACACCATGGCCAGCCTCCTAAAGCCCTAGTATAATACTAATATAGTACATATATGAGCTTTACCTCTTTCAAATGCTCTAGTCTCTCCAGCACAGGAAGGAGCTCATCAGCAAATGAAGAAATACCTTTTGCAGAAGCACTGGGACAGTATCAATGCCGAGCTGCATAAGGGGCAAAAACATAAGTTTGCAGGCATTACTTTTCATAAAAGAAAATAGCATGTCCCTTCCTTTACAAGGTGAAAATCACCAACTTATATAAGAAAAAGAGCATTGCAAAGGATCCTATCATATAGCTATTCTGTGACAAGCACCATAGTTCTATGTGGATCAGTAGCCGATTTCTGTGAACCTGAGACAAGCACTTATATAGATATATAAAATCAGTAGCGGCAGCGGCAGCATTCATAGTTCTATAAATCAGCCGGCTGATGTGCTTTGACCTACGACTGCTGCTACTGGGTAGAAAGCAGTAGCTATAGAAAAACAAAAAGAAAGAAAGGTGTAGATCCAATTACCACTCAAACATCACAAAATTGGGTAGTATTAGATTACCTGGAATGAAGCAAAGTAGCCTTGATTTCGGATCTGCACATAGCATAGAAAATTAGAACTCCAATTTATTAAAGAATAGCAAGAATAGAGTGGTTCCTCTTTGTCATACCTAAAATTTTCAATCGATTGCTCTTGGGCCAAGCAGGGTCTAGTGGTGTGCCATTGATTTTGTTTGCCCCAAGCCGAGGGAGTGGGTCTCGGGGATGAGGATGGACATGCACGCGAACTCCTTGTCGTTGGCCCGCTCCACGCAGAGGTACGTAGTGCCGAACTGGCCCTACCCGAGCAACACAGACTCCGGGACCACCGCCGCCTTCGCCTCCGCCGACGACATCTGCGCAGAGAGGCAAACATCAACAACTCAGATCCGCGCTGAGGGAGACGGAGTCCGCCACGAACGCCGCCTCCTGCTCCCTTGGCAGTCCCTCATCCTCTGCCTCTTCCGTGGCAGAGATATGATGGCCGGCCGCCGCTACCACAGCTGCGAGGGGGCACGGACCCGCTGGCCGGCAGCCCGTCGCCGTGGCCGCCCTGGCAAGCGAGCGCACAGGCGCGGGCCCACTGGCAGACAGGTCGCCTGCCGCCGTCACCCCAACCGGCGAGCGCAGGCGTAGGCACGGGCCCCGGCAGGCGGAATAGCAGCGATCAGCGAGAGGGGCGACGGGGAGAAGATTTGGAGTCCGCGGCTCTGCGCAGCTTGGTAGATCGGCAGCAACACATCCAGCGTAGGGGGAAGGAGGGAGAGGGGTGGCAGACAGCCGCAACACTCACCGGGATCACAGAGCACGTGCAGCGGGCGAGGGTGAGGGTGACGGCATGGGTGTGATGTCCAGCGATGCCGGCGGGCGAGGGCGAGGGCAACGTCGGAGGAAGGCCAAATCCACCGCGAGGATTGAGTGCAGGTGCGACCGCTCAGGCGAGGGAGAAGTAGGATTGTAGGAAGGCAAAATTCCTTGCGGTGATTGTGTTGGCTTTCCATTTTACCTCACGCATCGTGGTCGTGGGCGAGCGGCAGCAAGGATCGCAGGGGAAGGATCGTGTGGGGGGCGAGCGTGGGCGAGGGCACCAGGAGAGGGGGCGTGGGCCGGAGAGGCGTCGGGGCGAGGGTTGGGGGACTCACGGCATCGCAAGCTTGGAGGAGGTCCCACCTGCCGGCGCCGCGGGATCGCAGGCGTGGGCAGACAGACGAACCAAAACAAATGTCGCACCAAAAAATATCCATGTTTTGTTCTTTTTTTTGTTGTAGGAGATGCACGTTCGCACTCCCTGTCTCCCTTGCTATGTGTTGCTTGCCCAATTCATACGGCGACACCATCAAGCTTCAAGCTGCTAGCTCTGCTTAGGTTCACCTCGATGGTGGCGACCACTTTTGGGCGGTGGCGTGGCCTCTGCCGCAACCGTGAACTCGCTTCTCCGATCCCTGCCAACCAAGCGAGAGGCCAACTCCATGGATATTAATCACTTTTTTGTTTATATGTGATTGATAGTAAAATGTATGAATTGTTTAATTAATACGGTCATTGCATTTGAAATAATTTTCATAAATACGTGCGTAGGGTACATGCATATTTCCTAGTAAGTTCAAATGCATCACAAGGTACGTTATCAAATAAAATGCATCACAAAGTATAATGTGAAATGTGGCGTCCAATCTACGGACTACGGGTCCATGTTTCCTCAGGGTTCCACATTTTCTTCCGGGAGAAGGGAGATTATCCTTCTAGAAGAACAACGTGTGCATTCACCTGGTTTGAAGATTTATTTCTTTTTAGCAAAGGTTCCTTTACAGCTTTGAATAGGTTGACTGCTAAGCACGCATACGCTTTACCATCCTTGAGAGGTACTTAGGCAACAGTAACGACAATTTACAGGATTATAACGAACTGTTCTTACATTCCCGTGATAAAAAAAAGTTCTAGATGTTTTTTTTTTTTAAAGAATGAAAGAGAGTTCTTAATCTTTAACTCTCGATAAGATTATAAGAACTCTCCAACGATTATAATTATAAAATGAAAGTGCTATGTCCAGGCAATCTTGAAGTATAGATTCTGTGGACGCAGTAGATCAAGCATAAGCAAGAGAAGCTCGAAGATTGAATTAAATATATACTGTACTACCTGAGCACAAACCATGAGCACATCATCGGAAAAGCGCCCATGTACGACCCTTCAGATTGGCCATTATGCACACTAAACATGTGATGATAATCGTTAAGATTTGCTTGCGACAGTGTACAAGAACTTCACTTCCAAGGAAAACCAGACTAACTTCTTGTTGCACCTTCCAAGAAAAAGAACTCACAGCCAACCGCTGAAGCAGACACATCCGTTTTGCTGCTCAAATTACTGACAAAAAAACAAAGTGACAAATGCCTGAACGAGCAAACAAGAACATGCATCAGCAGGTGATCATGCGATTTCCCCTGAAATTTCCGGCCTGATAGTGTCCAGTGCAAGTGTACAAAAGGGCCTCTTCTGGGCCAATACAAAGTGTATAAATGGCCACACAAGGCCGATGAGAAATGTCAGAACAGAAACAGCACAGAAACCTTTGCTGAACTGAAAATCAGGATAGAAATAATAAGGCCAAGAGTATTCTCGATGTACACTCATGGACATGCCCAGCCAGGTTATCATCTAGCAGTTTGTTATATTGCCGTTTCAGTAGCTTTGGTATTTCCTTCTTTCCCTTGTCATGTTCACCAAACTTATGAGAAGTACAATGGATCATATACAAATTATTTTCCTTTCTACTGCAATAGTACATCGGTGTCTATTAAAATTTACTTAAAGATAACAAAAGGAACAAAAGCAAAGTTGAAATGACATACCATGAACTATCTCACCATTTATTTTGCAGCAGGGTGCCGTACCAGAGAACACAGTTTCAACTGAGGAGCTACGAATTCGTGATGAGTTGGAGGCAGAGATAGAGGACTTGGAACATGAAATCATCGATAGCATGTGCCGCCTCGCACGCCACCTTCAGAGGCTGTATCAGCAGAGGAATATAAGAGAATTTACTGGTTCGGTCACTGATTACCAGTTTTCACTGCCCCATGCAGAAAATGCACCTTCTTCTAGAGATGAATATCAGGATAAAATTGGATGGCCAATGCCGGATTGACATAGCCAAGGTTGAGAACGATGCTGCAGCCATTCAACCAAATTGATGTCCCAGTACTGATCAATCTGACAAAAGGTCATTGAAGATAAGGCACAGTGATGCAGTTCACTGCAGGAAGCATCACAACCATCCAGTTGTGCCATGGAGATAAGTTGAATGGATAGGAATGAGTATTGCAACTGAACAACAATGTCATACAACTTGGGATGTTCTGTTGCACAAGAAATAAACAATATCATGTAATTCTAGTATATATAAACATAGTCTGAATTCTACAATGCATTAACTTGTTCATGGAGAAACCATTAAAAATTATTAATAACATGGTCTGAATTCTATAATTAACAATCACTTGATTACTACCAACAGAAAAAAAAACATTTGGGACTCGAATGAAAAAATAGAGTGAAGTGAGGTAGTTGAGGATAAACAGAATCAGAGTTGAACTCTTGGTGACATTTCTTATCATGATACAACTGGACCCCCTGTGTACATTGCCCTGATCTTCATATTACACATTCCCCTGGTGAAAAAGGTGCATTTCTCAATGTCTCAATGCGGAGTGGCACATCCCCGGACTACACCATTAAGGGAATCAGTCCCTATAGGCCTTTTTCCATGTATCTCTTTAGCAGACATCTCTGCAAAACCCTCTATCCATAGTGGTTCAACTCTCTCTCTACCATCTACCTGAGTTACCTGATGTTGTTCAACTCCCTCTCTCTCAGCCGTAAATGCAGGTAATTGCGACATGGAATGGTCCTCAATGGATTGCAGGCAGCTTATTTACTAGATTTTGCAAATCAGTTATCATGTTGGATCTCAGTCTGAGGTTCTTCTGTGCGCGGATGTGTATACCAAAGGCTACTATAGTTCAATGATAGCCACTGGCAATCCAATTGGATTTGCTCATCTCCAAATGTTGGGGAAAGATCTTCATTATTAAATCAGATCAACCAATACCACAAAAAAATACCAGTTCACATTTGAAGGGTAACCATCCATCTGCCCGAAAGGGTCAGTGATATTGCCCCATACCACTGACAGTTGGATATATATTAATTATCATGAATTACAAGGGTTAACATGAATAAGAACAGCTGAAGTACTAAAAGAGGATAGTCTATTATGTAACCCTAAAATAGACTGTTCTTTTCTTTTCTAAAGGCGTTTGTTTTGCTGATTCTAAGACTTGAGAGATATCCTTGGAGCGCTGCACTCTTTTCAGTTCTATGTAAACGCCAACTATTTTGAAGAAACTAAATGTTGACATGTTTCTTTAGCATTTGTTAAATGTTGACAGGTTTCTTTAGCATTTGTGTTAGCCTATAACAACCACGTTTGCTTCTGATATCTACTACTTTTATTTGGCTTAAAACATAGAAAACTTTACTCCAAAATCATTGGGGTATTATAACTATATTTCAAACTCATTTTATTAACAATCACATTCCAATGATAATATAATTAATTAATGTATCATGTATCATTATTTTGGTAGCTATTCCTTCTGAAACAGGTAAACAAAACTAAACACAATACACAGATGTGCATATATCAGCAGATTTATTACCACAAACAACATATACCTCAACTGAAGTGATGAAAAATATAAATTAACAAGTGATGACAGAAGCAATTTACCAATATACAAGCGGGAGTCACAAGCCTTGGTACAAACAAGTAATTATCAATAAATCTGTTGTCCAAGCATGGATCCTCCGTCTTCTTTCAGTGGTAGCTCAGTTAAGAAACAACAAAGCTTTCCTTGCATACTTGTGAAAGGTTTGTCAGTAAGGTTAAAGGGATAGAAATGATCTACTGCAACGAAAAAGGCAAAGTGAGAAGCACATGTAAACATGTTTGATTTTTTTTTTCCAGAATTAAGGGTATGAAATAAAAAAAATCCTCAGGTTTGCCCTTATGCTCCAAAAGGCAGTTGCATCTGGTGCTAAACATAGAAACCACAAGTGTTTCCTTCTGTTTACTGATGGTTCTGAAACAATAGGTTTATATATGATAACTAGTGTATTGAGAGAGAGAGAGAGAGAGAGAGAGACTATATTTTACTGTGTGGTGGTAGGAGATTCCGAATCCGAAAAATTTAAAATGTGACCCAACATTAGACCAGTTATTCCGATGCTTTATAGGTGCTCAGCATACACTCAGTTGTTGTCGTTCCTCAGTCCAGCTCTGATTCACACTGCACCAAAGTTGCCGAACTTTGGTCACCAGCAATACAGGGTGGGGAAGACCTAGGGCATGAGCTGGGAGTGGGTGCACTCGTGGCACGCCCGAGATCTGATCGATAGAACGAACCTGCAGTGGGTACTGGCATACTGCCATCCCCATGCCATAGCTTGTGGTTTGAGAAGGGAGAGGGCTAGGCTCAAGCCATCAACGAAGAGGAGCCATGTCACTCCATGTCATCAGTGGTCACTATGGGGTGCCCACAGGAGCGATGGCTGCTCTTGCGGAGCATGGCAGCACGAGGACCTGTAGCCAAGATCCGCGAAACCCCAGGAGCGATGGCTGCTCTAGCAGAGCATGGCAGCACGAGGACCTGTAGCCAAGATCCGCAAACTGCTGGAAGCTCGCCGGGATCCAAGGACAGTGGCGCTTATTGCCTCCTCCAGCAACTGCATCTGGAGATCACACCACAATGGAGGCCGCTGAACCATGTCCAACTGTGGGAGCGAGAAGATGAGGTGGGCCCTGATTGTAATTGAGAGATGAAGGGATGGAGAAAGAAAGAATCACTATAAATGCAAGGTACTTTGGCTATTTGCCACAGTCAAACATCTTGGACAAAAGATGTTTAGGTTCCACTGGCATGAACAAATCAACTTTTGAGAACCAGTGGCACAAACCTAATAATAATTTCAAAAGGCGATAGCCAATGTCAGAACAGTAATTGACGCAATCATCTTCAAACTATTACAACCTTCAACTTGCAATTGCTACAATGCATTTTCCCGATCCAAGTATCCAACTATTGTAGATAAAACAATTCGTTGCCATATTCAAGTAATAAACTTATATTCTCAACAGGCAAAATGAATTTACATATTACTTCATCCTGCACACACATATTATTGAGATGGTGAGTCATATATGTGGGGTTTCAGGAACCGACATATGTCCAGCAGGAGGGCATGCACCACAGCAAGGGAAAGATATAACAGCCAGGAACTACCAAGATTTCAACTAAAATCAAATTATCCAAACATCAGAACTAGGTTTCTGTTATAAATATTCATGGATTGATTCCTTTGAGTGTGCAAACAGAATTCCAAGACCAATTTGTCAGTAAAATAGGGGGGGGGGGCGGCGGGCACAAAGAAAATAATAGAGTACAGCAAAGTAAAAATAGGCATACATGGGCAATTGATCATATCAAAACCCAAACTGAAACAACAAAACTATGTATTGACAACTCATCAATCACAGGAGCATAAACTTGAGTTCATGAAATTTGATATCGCTAATCTATGCAGCCTCGAACACTCCTTAAAATAAGATGTGGGGTATAAGCCTATTTACTGTAATCTCTGAAGCTTGAATCACTCCTTAACATCAAAAGGTCTGGTAAGAGCTTCCTACCTATTGTGCTGAACCTGGTGGTATGTTGCTGCTGCCACCACCCAATCCTGCTTTCTGCCCCAATTCTGCCAGTTGGTGAATAAACTCGGCCCCGCTAAGAATTTCTGTTGCACCATATATAACATGCTTGGAAGGCTGTGAGTGTTGCTCTAGCTCCATCAAGCTCTTGTACTCAATGTAATTTCCACCACCAATCATGAAAACAACAGCTTCTCTGAAGGGTCCTTTAAACTGCCCACCAGTTCCTGACCTAGGAGCCCGTGGATCAAACAAAAGGTAGTCATCCACCTCTGGGTTTGGTTTCCCTTCCATCAGAGCTTCAACTGTTCTTGTCAAGGCCAGCTGCCTCCCATCTGACAAGAGATTCTTTACACCTGCAGTCACAGCACTAATGGACTGCCCATACAGCTTCTCTGCCCAATCGACGATGTTGCTCTTAGTTGCTGTGCCTGAAGCAGCTGCAAATTGGGTATTCAATGCCTTTATCCTCTTCACGTACTGAAATGCACACATGTCAACTTCGGATTCCCGCAGAGCGGCCTCAACCTGCTCCAGTTCAGATGATGGTGGTGTCTCAAAGGACAGCAGGTAGGTCACAGCTAGCCGAAGCTTATCTTCCTTAGTGCCCTTCCCTCTGAGGAGACTCAGCAGTGTATTCCGGTCAACAGTGCCATTCACAAGCATATCATTCTCACAGTCGCAGTATCCATCCAGAGACCTCTCCTTGATATGTTCAAGCAATGAAGTTGCAATATTAGTGTGCTTATCAATCATCTTCTTACGTTCTGTCAGTTCTGGTAGTGAGTTCACCGCATTCATGAGATGCTTAGTGTTGCCAATCAGATCAGTACCATCAAACTCAACCCCAACCTTGCCACCACCAGTGCGCTGGTTCACCTCATCCACATCCTGCTTGTACTTGGCAAGCTGCGCCTCGATTTCCTCCGCAACTTTGGGGAACGGAGACCAGCTGTTTGCCACCCAGAATTTGTCAGAGTCATCCAATTCGTACTTCTCTGCCGGCAACTTCAGAATGTTCTGCTTCAAGCCAAGCACGTCATGCACCAACGGGCGGTAGCTCCAGTCATGCTGCACCCCGACAGACAGCTCGAAATTCCTGTCGAAGAGGCACAGCACAGGGCGCTGGAATGACATGACGGCGGCAGATGCAGCTTCCGTGAAGAGGTTGGGCTTGGCGAGTAGGTGATCGCGGAGCCGGGCGTCGAGGGCGGCAGCCACCATCTCCGCTGGCCCGCCGCGCGCACACCTGATGACAGGCACAACACCAAGCGTGGCGACGACGCAGAAGAGGCCCAGCGCGACGGCGTCGATGAGCGCAGTGATGTCAGCGTCGGCAGCGGCGGGGTCGTTTAGTGCGATGTAGGCCCGGGGCTGCG